AGCTCATTGCTACAGTCATTGTGTCAATCTACCTTTGTCACTCCACTTTCCCAAGCACAATGTCCTTCTCCTAGAAAGTCTCTCCTAGCAATATGTCTGAAGTATGTGAGATGACGCTTCTCCAATACCACAGTTCAAAGGCATCAAGTCTTCTTGTCATCCTTTCTGTCCCGTTCACAGACTTATAGCAAGTGATTTAAAAGACTATGACTTGAACCAGGCACACTTTAGTCCTCAAACTAACATCATTGCTCCTCAACAATTTGGAGAGGTCCTTGACTGCACACTTTCCAAGTACAATACATCTCCTGATCTGCTGGTACCAAGTGTATTGATTGTGGATTCAAGTAAGATGATGTTGCTGACAGTTTTAATCTTTTCGCCATTTATTATAATGTTGCCTGTCGGTCCAGTGGTAAGGACCTTTGTTCTCTTGATGTTGAGATGCAATCCATATTAAAGGCTTTTGATACATAAGTCTTACAAAAGTCTTTGATAATCTGTAGCAAGAACTCCAAGCCATCCTCTCTTGCAGCAAACAAGGAAGGCAACCAGGGTAAATTGGAGGTAAGGATGGTGAAACTAACATATTTTGGGCATGTTGTCAGATGGTGCCAGTCCATGGAGTAAGACATCATGCTGGGAAAAGTAGAGAGTCAGAGAGAAAGGAAGATCCTTAATAAGATAGTTTGAGACAGTGACTGCCAACAAGGGACCTGAGCATGGCAGTTTCTTGAGATGGCACATGTTCAGATCTGTTGTTGTATAGTGTTGCCGAGTGGAAGTCCACTCAATGGCACCTTGCAATAGTGCTGTGGGAGGCACAGCTGGTATCATCAGAGTTAACAATTTGGAGGGAGGAGGCATGTCTGAGCACTCATAGGATAAGACTTAGATTGTCAATCAAGATACTTGCTCCTGGTGAAGTTAAGAGATTGGATAGCACCTAAGTCATTTTAACTCTCTCTCCATCCCCTTACCACCAGTTATAAGAGGACATTTTTCAAATGCTGATGTTTATGTAAGTTATAACTATCAATATTTACCATGCTAGAAATTAGAGCCAATAAGGAAAATTATTAAATCATTTAAAAACAATAATAAAAGATAAAAAACATATATTTATTAAAAATATCTTGCAAGCAGAAAAAAATTAGGTGAAAAGGAAACTGGAATTGTAAACTTTTGAAGTCTTAGCATTAACAGAAGGCAGCACACTGTCCTGGCTACTTCAGCACCAACTGAGTGTAGTACGTCACCTTGGCCAAGTCGAAGAAGACAATCCACCTCCCCAATGTGCTGTGGGAACATGACACTTTGATGTGGGGCACATCACAGGAATCAACTTCAATACAGTCTAGAGTCACAACAGAAATTCCAAATGAGGAGCAGGATGAAGTACCTGATGAAGCAGTTTTGGATTGCCTCTCTTCCCCTCTAGGAGGGATCAGCACTGTTTTGAGGCACAATGCTATGTCAGAGGGGAGCATTCTTTTCGATCTGAAGAGGGTATCGGACAGCCAAAGGACTATGAGGTGGTATGGTCTTTGTTTATCTTTGGTTATCCAGTAAGAGGACATCCTTCCTCTGGCAAGTCTTGATTGAGTTCTGGCAGTATTGACTCTTGAGAAGGGGCCAGGTTCTCCTTGTGTTTTGGAAGCACAGAAAGGATGCAGCCTGTGTGAGGCTGACCTAGTCACATACTCCTGTCTGGTACTCTCATCTTGAACTCATGGCAGAGACGACTAATGAATTATTAACAGCAGCCTCAGACACTGGTGGCCCCATTTTGGTGGCTGGGCCATTAACCAATGGCAGAGGCACCAATTGTAGCACACATACGGATGACCTTGTATGGGCTTCCACCCATCCAACTTCCCTTGGCTGGCTGTGCATTTCCCCTCAATGCTGTGGCCTCCTACTGCTGTCCTTTTTCTAAGTCAGGTAAACATTTTTCATGTGCCATCAGGATCTGAGAGGGCTGGATGGGGACAGTGAGTGGATTTTTTCTTTTTTTTTAAATCTAAGCTGTTGCTAAGGCCTATCTGACAATGCTGTTTCTCCCCCATTTCCAGTGCTGATGACCTGGCCAGTCTCCCTCCCCCAAAAAGACAAGCCATACTCAGAAGAACACTCAACCCACCACCACTGAAATGATTCTGATTCATAATGACGTTGTAGGGCAGAATGGAACAGTCCTTTAGGGATTCCAAAACTGCAAAGCTTTATAAAAAGTAGATGGTGTTATCTTTCTTCTCTGGTGAGGTTGAAATGCCAGATTTTTTGTTTCAAATGTCTTAACCATAGAGCCACCAGCATCCCCCAAACACTCTATGTGTATCTCCCCAAAGCAGCCCTCAGGGTTTTCACAAAATCAAGGTCTGTGAGCAACACTTGTAACTCTATCCTGGTTTCAGAAGAGGTCTGAGGTCATCCGTTCTTGCCTCAATCCCTCCCCCCCCACCCCCGCCATCTCCCAACAGAGTTCCTTCTAAGTAGCAATGCACTTTGAGAAATTACAGAATGTTTGCTGGAACGGGGAGGGAAGGGGTGAATTCCTATCACAAGTTTTGTGATTCCTTTACTGTCTTTAAAAACAGTTTCCTCACATTTTAAATGTATAGGCTGAGGGCCATCTATACAAGTCAACATTCATAGTGTGAGCAGATTTAACATTCATCAAACATGAGCAGAGGCTCTATTTTGCCTTGCAGGACTTGGCCTGGCCTCTGGTACTTCTGCCTGAAACTGCTGCTCCTTCAGGCCACATGGTGCAGACCTGGGTTACAGACACAGCCTGGAGAATGACTGCTGAGGCAATTTGTAGACCTAAGTTCCAAGCCACTGACACTTCTGAAGACATTTTCTAATACATACTCTTATATGTAAAATCAATTATGGAAGTTGACACATGCTAAACACCATAGCCAGTTATTACACTGCACGGCACAGCTGAAGTTGTATTCACTAACACTAGTGTCCTAACAATAATCTATAATCCACCCTCCCTTGTAGTTTTTACACCTCTCTTGAGGCAGGCACACGGTTTGATGGAGAACAGCCTCGAAACATGAAAGCTGTTCTCACTCCAGAAACCAGCTCTTCACCCCAGGTCACCTACTTCCTCCCAAGTATTTCCTCTCATTGGAAGGCAGTGGATGAGCACTACTGAACTGTCATAAAGGAAGTGTGCAGCTCACCATTAAATTTTTCTTCACCATACCCCTAATATACCAGTCTGGTTCACAGAGGCTCAATACTACTCAAGTAAATGAATGGATGATACCTTTTATCATGAAGTAATGTTCGATCTAATGCTACTCAGAGCTGCTTCCACCAGACAAGTGTGTGAGAGTACAGACTTGAGCTTAGTCCTAACCCACTGCACTAGGCTGAGCATTCTGTAGCTCATGTAGAACCAATTATTTTTAGGGCAAAAAATAGCAAACTTATTTTTTTCTTTCCCATCAAACTGAGCAGGCTTGTCCATGCACAGTTATTTACTTAATTTATATGGAGTCAAAATTAGGTAAGTTGTAAAATACTTACAAAAATAATATGGAATCAACTTGATAACAACTATCAAGTGGATATGCACTCAATCTGAAGAAAATGGCTCTTTCCAGACTTGGATTTTGCCCTTTTGATCCCACAGCATACCTAAAGAAACACTGTTGTTATTTAAGCAATTTGAGCTATTATGTTTCCTTGTTACTGAAGGATAAAAAAGTTCCGTTGATCATAAAATAATAAGAGATCCTGCTGGATACTAACTCTACACACCTACACTCTCCAGCTTCTAAAGGACAAATAAAATGCTCCCTACTGTTGTCAATATCCTAGAAGAGAAAGAAATTATTTCGTGTTTATTTTGGTTGTTCCTAAATAGTACGACCTGTGTGTGAAAATACAAGGTGCAAAGTAACTGCGTAACTTTGCAGCCTGGTGCTAAGACTTGAACCAGAGCAAGACTCCTGCACCATTTGTTCCCAAGGGTAGTGTCATGCCTCAGACCTAAAATGTCTGTGCCAAAGTCATCTACCATCTGACTTCTCAGATTCATGGTTTGTCAACCCCTAAATTCTTATCATAGGGAACTCTAGTGGGTAAGGAGTTGAGGTTCAAATCCATCAGCTGCTCCATGGCAGCAAGATGGGCAATCTCCTCCTACTGATTTACAGCTTTGGAAAACCCACCTGAGGTCAGCTAGGAGTTATTCCAACGCAACAGCACAGAACAATATGTTCAGGCCTACCTACTACTTTGATTAAGACCCCACACTGGGTATATATATTCATGTTTTGAAAGATCTTTAAGGACATCTGCAGTAGGTATGTATCTTGATATACAAGCTTAAAAAACATTATTTCAATGTAGTACATTGTACTGTTTAACCATATTACACTGCAAAAATATTCATATAAATACTGTATACAAATGGATTCACTACCTTAGAAAGATTCACCCATTGTGATATTAAAGTATCAGCCAAGTCCAGAGAAATACTTTGACAGTACGAACACTAAAAATAAACATAAGGTTTATCAGCAACTGATGGAAAAAAGATTTGTATTTGCTATCATACAACAACAGGACTAATATGAAATATAATTTTAGACAATCAATGTATAAAAACTTTTAAAAACACTTTTGCTAGGTCAGCATGTAAGAACTTAAAAATCGAAACCAAACCAAATAGCTGTGGAGTTACTTTAAGGACTTACTACAAATCAAACTACTGTTCCCAGCTACTTCTGTAAGCACCAATCTAGAAAGGAAACTCTCTCATACACACACCCCACGTGCAATTTTATATTAAAAATATCCACTTCAATCTATAGTGTGTGCTGATGGGTATCAAATTCCAACTTGGGTGAGATCAGCAGGCATGGAGGCTTGTTTTCAGTTCCGAGTATAGCTGAAGAGAGAGAGAGACTAAACAAAGGTGGAGCTTGTGTGTGGTTTGTCCCACTTGGAGCCTTCTCAACATGCCCAGCAGCTCAATCTGGCATATCAATATTTAACTTGGGAGGTGGGGGAACACATTTTCCAGGGCTCTGGGTTATAACCACCCTGGCCTTCTTCCCAAACATTGGGGGCATCTTAGAGATTTCTGGAATGGATGTTTCTTCAGCATCTTCACTACCTTCATGATGCAGATCATATGAAATGTTCCCATATTCTCTTAAAAGCGGGAAAATTTCAAGGAGAAACTGACAGAAATCTCTGCGAATACCAAACCACCAATGATTGGCCCCCTTTCGCCTAAAGGTTGTGGCCATTAAAGTTATCAGTGAAAGCCAAAGGGGGACAAATATGGATATATAAGAAAATGTATTGTGACTGTCCACTCTGTGAGCCAGCAGGACCTCAAAAGTGAGAAGGGGCACAATGATTGTTATCCAGCTCACAGCCATGGTCACGTGTGTTCTTCTCTGCTCAGCAGCCACATCCAGGGACCTGAGAAACAAGAGTGACCAGACGACGTAATAAAGGACAACTAGGCAGAGAAAAGACATAAGGACCCACAGGGGCACAAACACCACCCGCCACGGCCAGTGGATAATTTTGTCCAGCCGCAGGGCAATGAAGATGAACTGTAGGATGTTGACAGAGCACAGGATCTCCAGCTCCAGAGACCGATCATGTCGGAAACCCCAGACACAAGCGGCCACTGACACGGGAGACACGAAGAACAGCGGCATGAAGACCAGTAACCAGAAGTGCGTGCCCCTCTCCACCCGGTCGCACACCAGGGCTTCGAACATCAGCAGCAGCAGGTGGATGCCCACGGATATCAGCATGGCTTTGAACTCCACACAAGCCTCTCCTTCTGTGCGGTAGCGAGGGTTCCGAGCCCAAACGCCGGCGCCCACTGAGGCTCCCGCGATGACCATGAGCTTCCACAGCCAGATGGGCGCGAAGACTGCCCAGTAGCTCCAGTGGATGACGCCGTCCAAGCGGAGGGGTAGCAACACTGAGAAGAGCAGCAGACAGGTGTAAATGAGGAACTTACTCGGGTTGAAGTCCTGGAAGAGGTTTCGGGGGTTCATGGCGGGTCCGTTGCCGCCTTCCCAGTCCCGCTCGCACGGTAACGAGTCTTTAGGCAGCAGCCGATCACGTTGGCTGCTCCTGCCCTAGGTGGGCATCTGCACACGAACGGAAGCCGTCTTACCTGCAGCCAGGAGAACAGACCACGTTCTCCTGTGGTCACGTGCCATGACAGGAAGCTTGGTGGGCGTGTTGTGTGCAGTGGGCGGGGCGCTCCGGGAAGCCTCTCTGCTCAGGATCAGGCTGGATCCGGGGTCTGGTGTGACACGCAGTGGCGTGTGGGGCGTGATGGGCGTGGCGTGAGGCGTGCGGGGAGGGGAAGTGGGCGGGGCTCGCCCAGCGATGCGGAATCCCCGGGGTTAGGTTGAGGTCAGGCGCGGGAGGGCTTGGCGTGGCACGGTGGGCGGGGCGAGGGTAGTGGGCGGGGCGCCCTGCGACGCCCGAAGCTCGTGGGCTCCGGATGGGCTTAGTTTAAGATCTCGGTGCCAAGTGGTTCGAGTCCGCTCCAAGCCAGGCACAGCCAATGTCCCGAACACTCGCTTTCCTTCCGAACACTTAGGCGAGCACCTACTGCAGACGACGCCACAAGGGCGCAGGGCAGCGATTTGCTGACAGGGCTGACCCGTTGCGCGGCCTCCGGCGGACCTTTCCGAGAGAAAAGGAGGGAAGAAGCCAGGGATGGACCCGCCACAGTGTCCCCACCCGCCACCCTGTTCTTACCCCTGTGGTAACTTGTTTTGGTGCTCTGAGAATGGATGCAGGGCTGCTGGTGCCTGCTTAAGCCAGAGTGAAGGGGTGGCAGGGCGCACGTATGGGCATTTGAGCGAGGGCAGGGACTGATTGCCCTCTCTGTCTGCTCTTATCTTTTCCGCGCCTGCAGGCTACCCTGGACCCGTGTGCGGTCTGCTTGATGGGGTGGGTAGGTCTGCCTAGACAGGCAAAAAGACAATTCCTAGACTATCTGGGAAATGGTTGAGGCCGAATCCCAGGAGGAAGTTTTGCTTGCCAGGGTTGGAAACCTGGTGTTAGGAAGCATGCTAGACCCTGGACTATCTAGGGAGAAGGTAAGAAAAATGGGTGCTTTCTGCCCTAGGCTAAGCAGCAGGTTAGGAGCAGAATTGGGATGCAGGTAAGGGGCTTCCAGAGTCCTCGGTTTTACTTGTCTGATCCTGTTCCACTTAGATTCTCAGAACCTTTTTTTGGGAAAAGGGCCAGAGGACATTGGACTAGAGGCCAAAAACTTTGGGTTCTAATGTACGGAGTTAAGGTGGCACCTGTCTGAGATTGCGAATCTACTTACAGCTTTATGGGAGAAAGATACACACAACCAGGCTTCTCTCTCTGGCGAGTCTTTTGGGATTGTTGTTTATTATTATTGTTGCTACCATGGGTGTTGATTGTGGCCTCAAGTAAGATAAAATCCTTCACAACTTCAGTCTTTTCTCCATTTATCCTGATGTTGCCTCTTGATCCAGTGGTGAAGATTTTTGTTTTCTTGATGTTAAGATGTAACCAATATTGATCTTCTACATTTGGTGCTCCAAGCCTTCACTTTCTGCAAGCAAAGTTGGACCATCAACTTAAAGCAAGTTGTTAATGAGTGTTCCTCTGATCCTCAGGCCACATTCTTCTTCATAAAGTCCGCTTTCTGTAATTACTAGTTCAGCTTACTGATTGAACAGATATGAAGAAAGGATACCACCCTGCACATCTTCCTTATTTTAAACTATGAAGTGTTCCCTTGTTCTGTTGAGAAACCTACTTCTCCGTTTATATACAGATGTCATGTGAACACAATTAACTATTCTGGGGTTCCCATTCTTCTCAATGTTAGCTCTAATTTGTTGTGATCTACACAGTTAAATACCTTTGTGTAATCAATACAACACAAGCATCTTATTTTTTATATTGAGCCCGTTAAGTGGATGGCTATTCCACTAGTTTTTAGCCTGGAAATGCCACTGAAGCTTCACCATGGTTGACCTTGCTAGTATTTGAAATATCTGTGGCTTCCAGCATGACAGGGACATACAAGCCACCACAGTACAGCAAAGAGAAGTGGTGTAATAGGAAATTTAAAGTTTATAAAAAATATACATATTGTTCTACATTCTTCTCCCTTTTGGTCAGAATTCTATGGAATTTTTGATCAAAACCCTGAATAATGTTAGTCTGGCACCAGGCAATTATTTATGGAGATAATTAGTCACATCTGCTGTGTACTCCAATTCCTAAGTCTCATTCCTCTATTCATGAAGACTGATTTCTGTACCATGGATAGGCCACTTGTAAGTTGTTAGGATCCCAGGCACTAGACCAGAAATCCAAGGTAATAGCTCATATTAGGTACTAGTAACTTTATTTCTATCTGCAAAGTCCCCTCACAGTAATGCATTTCTGTGACCTCGATTAGTGTTTGAGTAGCAAGGGTGTAGGAATTTTGGGGACCTATCTAAAATTCCCAGTATCAGTGGTTACACCAGGGATGTGTCCTATCTCCATATCTATTTAAACTATATTCAGAACAGATTATCCGGGAGGCTGGGCTGTCTGAGAAGTGTGGCATCAGGATTGGTGGAAAACTCATCAACAGGCTGCATTATGCAGATGACACAACCCTGCTTGCTGAAACTGAGGACATCCTGAAGTACTTACTGCAAAGGGTCAAGGATTGCAGCCTTCAATATGGATTGAGGATCAATACCAAGAAGACAAAGATTCTCACCTCTGGGGCAATTGGTAGCATCAGGATGGATGGTTAAGAGATTGAGATTGTTCACAGCTTTAGTTTGCTTGGCTCCACAGTCAACACTCTTGGCCCCAGCAGCCAGGAAATTAAAAGATAGGATGGGAAAGTCTGCTGTTAAGAACCTCTCCAAAGTACTGAAGAGCATTGGTGTCACTCTTGAGACTGAGGTGTGCCTGATACAGGCCGTGGTCTTTGCAATCTCTTGCTATGCATCAGAGAGCTGGACAATGACTAGGGAGGATAGAAGAATTGATGCCTTTGAGCTATAGTGCTGGAGAAGAGTACTGAATGTACCATGCACTGCTAAGAAAACAAACAGGTTCATCCTGGAGAGGGTTAAACCAGGCTGCTCCTTGGAGGCAAGGATTCTGAGGCTGCGTCTGACATACTTTGGACATGTTGCAAAGAGAAGGACGTCATGCTTGATAGGGTGGAGGGGCAGGGCAGAAGTGAATGACCCTCTATGAAGTGGATTGATTCAGTGAATGGGGTAATCAGGGTGAGTGTGTCAGAGAAAGATTGACACAGGACAGAGCAGGGTTTAGGGTCGCTGTGAGTCACAAGTGACTCAACTGCACATAACAACATCTAAAATTCCCAATATCAGTGGGTAGACCTAGTTCAGCTCTTTCTGCCTCCACTGAAGGCAGAAAATTCTTACATGAGGGCTCATCACTCAGAAAGAACAGGGTGACAGTGCTAGATCCCGAGGAAGGCTTGGTGACACCTTGGCATGCTTCCAGGCAGACTCTGTCAGTTCTCTGAGTATATAGAATCTGTGGAGTCAGGACTCCCAAGGAACCTTGGCCACAAGAGAAAGAATTTCCTTACTGACTGTCCTCCCAAGTAGGGAGTTTGGGAATGGGGTGCCCTGTGAAGGAAGCCCAGGGAGGCTTTCCCTTTGAGATGGACTTGTGTACATCAGTGGTAGTGTCTTTGGGCCTTTTGTGTCCATGTTTGGCCCCAGGCACCAGGCATTTCTGCCTTTCTAGTGCTCTCACCTGCTGTCTGCTCCCCCTCTCCGTGCCTCTGCCCCCAACACACCCGTGCAAAGTGTGGTAGTGAGCTCAGGGAGCACAGGCTTCAGAGCTCCCCAAGGCCGTGTCTGCCTCTGAGCTATGTGGCCTTGGCAAGTAATAAGCTAAGTGTTCTCATCTGTGATGTGGAGATAACTTCACAGGTTGTGAGAGCAAAATGAAACATGTAGGACAGCCTCCTTGTCTGGTTGATGCTTCCTTGTCCTGTCTCAGTAGTGGCTATGGTACTGTCTTTCCCTGCAGCTTAAATATCGCCTGTTCTGTTGCAAAAGTTGTTAGGTTTGTTAGAGAAACGAGTTGTGGGGGAGGGGGGCAGAGGAAGGCAAAGTGTGTCACACACAGTGTAAATCCCAGGTTTAGTGCAGCAGCACAAATGTAAGAAGCCTCTGGTTTCCTCAATCGTCAAGCAGTAACAAGTTTCATAGTAGTAACAAGTCAGCTTTTCCTTCAGTCATCTAACAAGCAGAACCTTCAACTCTGGCTCTGTCACCAGGGCTCCATTAGGCTACACCTCCACAGACTCACTGCAAGGGGTTACCTCTGTCTCTTATGTTGGCCTAACAGCTATTGATATTGAAGATGCTGATCAATGGGTGAATCACTTGTCTGTAGTTGAAGCAGCTGGAGACCATGCCCCCACAGAGAGCAATGGATAAAAAAGACATTTTCATAAGTCCTAACACCAAGAGGACTTTAAAGGAAATTAATTCAGCTGAAGTATTTGAGGTTTCTTCAGGCCACATCTATAATGCAAGTTTAGACTCAAGCTTGTGTGAGTACTGGGTTGTTAATATGCTCAAGACAATTAATTTCTCTTTCAGGGTCAAAATTGAGACATGAAGGTTTTTCCTCCTGACCCTTTATGCCTGAAAGGACTTTTAATAATTTTCCAGTACACCAACAGAATCACTTTTTGCTGTCCTAGCTTTATTTTATTAAGGCCTCCACCCTCAGTAACTCTTCCTTAGTGTCATGTGTTGTAAGAGTATACATGAATAAGTGGCATCTAGATGTGTTGAAATGCCATAAATACAAATCTTTGTCAGATGATCGTAAATACATTGTGAACATTGCAGGAATGCCCAATACTTCATTGAATAGTTGGGTTGTTTATGCCCTTTCCTACGGTAAGTGTGCTGGAAATTCCATGATAAAGAATGAAAGTCAATGTGATAGCTCACTCTGCTGCCAATTGATTCTAATTCTTGGGAAACAT